GGCCTTGGTAGGAGTCTTGGCACTACCATTCACCAGCTGTGCCCCACAGCCAAGTCCTTTAACTCACATGAGCCTCCATCACCTACCTGTTCTACTGCAAATGGTTTTGTGAATTCGCATGATGTGTGCAACATGCTTAGCAAACACATCACACCTAGAGGTATTCGCACATAGTAGCTATGAACTGGCACAGATGGTGTTTGAACCTATACAATTTATCACCAGATTTTCTACTACACACCCACATTGTGCAATATGAGCATGTCCATAGATTAGAGAGCCCCTGCTTTTAAAGAGACAGGCGCGAAATAGAGCATTTTAGTACAGCATGGTAAAGACTCTAATTAAGATAGATATAGAGAGGTATAGAGCCCTAATATGAAATATTTAGGAGCACTGTTGGCAGCATGGTAAATAGGGTTGATGAAAGATTTTATTAATTGTCTTTCTCTCCTCTAGAATGTAAAGTCCAATAAAGCTGGAATACAGCCTGTCTTTCTCAGCGCTGTGCTTCTTAGGAGCTCTATGGGGAAAGGGGTTGAGCGAATGTTTATGGTGATGCTTAAGTAAAGAAGGAGTTAGCCAAGTGTAAAATGGGGCTAAAGATATCCAGTCAGAAGAAACTGCACCAACAAAGACATATCTTTAGAAAATTGAGAGGCAGGTTGTTGAAACAAATGGAGTGCAAAGTACGAAGTGTAGGGGTGAGGAGAGAGGACTCGACAGGGGTAAGACCATGGAAAAATCTTGTTTACCAAGCTAAGAAGTATGGCACTTATGTGGGTGAACACTTGTGTGTAAAGCCATTGTGGGCAGCTGCTGGCATGGGCTGATTTAACAGGACCTGCAATTCCTGTTCCAAGCCTAAAATATGCTTTCCTTGCGAGACTGCCAAAGTACCTATGATTTTTTTATTTATTATCAAGCCCAAAGTAATAACCACATTAACCAGAAACAGCTGCTACTTCTTATTCTCCAATTAGTTTATCAGATTTGCTAGCCAGATCAATTTTCACAGCAACCATATGAGATAGTTACTTTCACTAGCTCATTTGACAAATGAGAAAACCAAAGCACAGATAAGTTGGGTGACTTGCCCAAAGTCATACAGCATTCCAGTAGTAGAGTCAGGATGCAAACTTAGTTACCTTGGCTCCAGAATCTATTTTCTTAACCACCACTTTATTTCAAATGTATCTTCCAGTTCATCATTTCTCTCTTCTGTTGAATAATGCATCCACTGTTTAACTCATTTGATGAATTTTTCATTTCTATAACTTTTTAAATTCTAGAATTTCTATTTAGTTCTTTTAAAATGTCTACTTTTTTGTCATATTTTCCTGTATTTGCCCTATGGTTTCTATTCCCTCTTTCATCATGAAATATTTTCTAACATCTATACTCTCAAATTTGTTATCTTTAGTTTCTAAGATATGAACTTCTCCATGTGTTTGATCTGCTGGCTCTCACTAATGGTGGCATTACCCCCCCCACCCTCTCTTTCTCTCTCTCTCTCTCTCTCTCTCTCTCTCTCTCTCTCTCTCTCTCTCTCTGTGTGTGTGTGTGTGTGTGTGTGTGTGTGTGTGTGTATTTTTTTTTGTGGATATTTTTCCATTGATTTCTGGAGAGAGTGGAAGGAATGGAGAGAGACAGAGAGAGGGAAACATGGATGTGAGAGAGACACATTGATTGGTTGCCTTCTGCATGTGCCCTGACCAGGACCAGAAATCGAGCATGCCACTGAGGTACATTCCTTTGACTGGAATTGAACCCAGGACCCTTCAGTTTCAGAAGCTCTATCCACTGAACAAAATGGCTAAGGTGCATTTTTTCTGTCTTGCGTGAAATATATATAAAAGTAAACTTAACATCATCAGGAGTTTGCTGTTGTTGTTTTGATTTTTTAATTTTGATTTTGGTGGGAGATCCATATGCACTGAGATGTTGAGACACTTTTATGACCTGCTTTTCAGTATCTCACAGTTTAATTAATTCCAGACCAAGTTTTTACATTATCTTGTTGGCTTGTGGCTTATGCACTGCACAATAAGAACCCTGAACCCTTACACATGTTTAACATAGGTTTGGTTTGGATTTCTCATGGGTGATCCCATGACCCAAAGTGGCTGACAGAATTCCATACCAGAGACTTCAGCAGAATCTTCCTTATTTCATGCTCAGCCCTGTCATTCCTCACTGACAGCTACACAGGCGGTTGTTGGCTATGGCCTTGATGCTCATCCCCACTGGGTCCTACTGAAATTCCAGCCCCTAGTAACCCCACATACTACCCATATTTTCATAAGACCTTTTTTTTAATTCCTTCTTTCTAATCATTGCTCCATTACTGAGTTTGCTCTTTGTTTCTAGCACCTGGGATTTCTACTTTTTGCATGTAAGTCTGGCAATGGATTTTTTTCCCCATTGTATATTTTCACCAGCATCCCTCTGTGATTGGCTGATATGTCCCTTGGCAACCTAGTCTATCAAATTGACCAGAAGGTTATGATTAAATACGCAGATATCAATCTTTCCCTTATAGAGGACAAAGACCTTTGTCTGATTCATCTTTCCATCCTAAGTCTTCAGACAGTGTCCAGAACACAGTAGGCAGCAATCAAGATTTGATCAATGAATTAATTAATTAATCATCTTTTCTTTGAGGTGGGAATGAAAGACCATGCAATAATGATCTTCTAGACAAAGAAGATACCAAGAATCCCTGAAAAGCCATCCATGCTCTCTGGAAGATCATGCTAAACATACAAAAAGTTTGAGTCCTGCCTGAGTTCAGTCCTTTGGCCGGTAGGTTCATTACTACTGACACTACTTCTCTCTTGAAAGGCAATCACCGCTAATTACATGCTGGTCTAGCAGAACTATGAAGGCTGGCAGGCTAGGGGCCTCAGAGAGCTCTGCTGTCTTTCAGCACACACTGATGTCCTTTCATAGCCACACTTGGCACCTGATTAATAGCATGTAGGGGCAATAATGTCATTTTTCTTGTTGGTGCCATAAGGAGTTGGCCAATTAAGTTCCCATTTTTGGAGCACCTGACACAGAGTAGGCACAGAGTTAAAGTTTCTTCTTCTCCATTAAAAACTGTTCATAAATATTTGTTGAAAATCTTCTGCCTCCTGGGCACTGTGCTTGGTGCTGGAGGTGGAGAAGAATAACATACAGTCCCCGTTTCAAGCCTTAATTAGAAAAAGAATTTCAAGATCAAACTGAATAAAAATTACTTCAAATGTCCTTTGATTTAAGGTGAAAAGACATCTCACCTCATCCTGCCACCCTAAAATACCTAAGAAGTATAGCCAGCAAAGTAATTTTGCCTAAGACTATGTTGTACAGTTCTCTCACCTCAAAGAGGAAATACAACTCCCAGTGAATATATGAACAGATAATAGAGAGCTCATCATCAAAGGCAATTATTTATTTATTTTTTGGTTAATCCTCACCCAAGAAGATGTTTTTCCATTGGTTTTTAGGGAGAGTAGAAGAGAGAGAGAGAGAAAGACAGAGAGAAACATTGATGTGGGAGAAACACATCAATTGGCTGCCTCCTGCACGAGCCCTGACCAGGGCCCAGCCAGGGAGGAACCTGCAACCAAGGTGTGTGTCCTTGACTGGGATAGAACCTGGGAGTCGCTGGTCTGCAGGCCAACACTAACTGGCTAGGGTTCATTAAAGGCAGTTTTTGACAATGAACTTTGAGTTTCTTTTATTATTAAAATCCCAGAACCTTGAATTATGTCTAAACTAAATTAGAAACTCAGTAAGTCTGTTGAATGTATTGGCATATATATATATATATATATATATATATATATATATATATAGATATAGATGTGGTCCATCCATCTATGTCCCCATCATTCCACACATATTTATTGAGGATTTTTCTATGAATGGCAGTCTGTCTGAGATCTTGTGATCGGGACAAAGACAAAAAATAAACAAACAAATAAATAAATAAATAAAGAACAAGATAGCTATATCTACAAGAAATTTCCAGGTTTGGTGGTCAGGTGTCTAGGTATGTAAGTCACCATGATATAACATAGAAAATACAAAGATAAAACCATGGAATAGGCTATAGGAGTTCCAAAGAATAGGCCACTTCCTGCAGAGGGATAAGGTAAGACTATGTCTCATGGAGACTTTATGCTCAGACTTGAAGGAGAAGGAATTTGCTGCCTTATAGAAGGGAGAGAGTGGGTATTGGCAAGGAAGGAGGGTCAGATGGAAAGAATAACTTAGACAAAAGCAGAGGAGCAGAAAAGCACAGGCTATATAAACAGAAATACAAATTTGGATGGAAATGGGTAAAGGGGCATAGAGGGGACTAAGGAGAAATAAGGCTCGAAAGATAATATGAGGCCATTGCAGGGGCTTTAGATGTGTCTGATTTATCATTCCAGGATATAAGCTCTCTACAGAGTAGCCAGTGCTTAGCATATGGCCAGGCTTCATTAATACTACAACAACCTCCTAGTAGGAACCTGCTCCCTGCGTGCACAGAGGAAGCTGCCATCTGTATGCGCAGGCAATTACAAACCCTTCACGTACTCTGTCCTGAACCCTGCAAGCGTATCAAATACTCACTGTAAAAGGTCACCCAGCAAACAACTCTGAGCAATCCTGGCTCAGGCGGAATCAAATCCCCTAAATAAGATCCACTAGAGGCAATGTCAGGAAGGTCAGCCACAACCCTATTTCACATCTTGAAGCATTTTCACCATGTGGAACATTTTAGGGAAGAAGGGAAAGGCAAGAGAAAGAGAGAGAGAAGGAAAGAAAAAAAACCTTCCAGAAAAAATAGAATTCCAAGTCATTAAATGTGAAATGATCACAAAGCAACCAGGGAATTTATTTTGGCCCCCACCCCTTTCTAGTGATCTAAAAAGCAGTTGATTTCAAAGTAGCCATGCCAGGGTTCCACATGGAGCTTCATGCCTCCCTTCCTCCCCCTCCCCCAGTGCGTCCCCGCTGTGTACCTTTGTCGAGTTCACTTGAAATGTTCCATGATGAGGTAGGCACTAACTCAGCAGTGACTGACAACTCTGTTTCTGAAAAGAAAAAGAAGGGAGGGGAGAGAGATGAGGGCAACATTAACCTCAGTAACTTATGGGCTGTTAGAAGCATTACAGGAGATTTCCAAAGGCCCTGCCTTCTGAAGGTGACCGCTGCCATTCCGTAGCTTATTACACAGAACGGCTGCGCCCCTGCCAGGCAGAGGCGCCTGCCAGGCAGAGGCTGTCCAGATGAACGATCTGTAGGCCAGATCATTGGAAGGTTGTTGTCTTTGAAACACAGGATTCAAAATTAAAATGAAAATATTTCATTAACGAAAAACCAACCCTGCAAAAATGGTCCGACATTATCAAACAAGCTCTCCCATGTCTTGTTAGAAGGCCAGCCTTAAGCGGGTATTTTCAACAGTCCTCCCACAAAAAAAAAAAGGAAGACCAATGTTGCTTTTGCTGCTGATTTCATTCGTGTTTGTGAATTTGTAGCATTTATATTCCTAGAGAAACTCATGTCTCTATATTGAAGCCCTCAGTCAAGACCAAAAATAGCATTTGAATACTGAGAGCCATCTGTGGTTAACTGAACTTAAAAGATAAATTTCAAAAACACCATGGTACATTTTTCTAGGATTGCACTAATCTCCCTTTAGGTGACTTCTATACACATACACACACACACACACACACACACACACACACACACTATATTATGAAACTTTAGTGCTGTGCAGGACCTCAGAGTGCTCAGGGCCCAGGCCATTAGAGATATGGTACCTATGCCATAAGTTCCTCTTCCTTCAATCTGATACAGACATCACTCATCAATCATGCCCCTTCTTGCCTAGGAAACCTGGAATCTGCCTTGGCGTCTTTTCAACACAGTCCTCTAGGCAGCCACTAAGATGTATCTGAGTTCAAACACAAGGTGAACTTTAGTAAGTGAAAGAGCTGGGATTCAAACCCAGGTCTGTCTGACGCTGCCACCCACCCAACTCCCAGCAGCCCATGCTGCCTAGTACTCAGGTCTGTGAAACAAACCCCACTTGCTCTTCACCTCACCTCTCCTTTGCTTCACCTTTTCACCTAGATAAGCACACTTTCCACATTTCCTTATTTGCTGATGGGGACTGTCTGCCACACGGCTGTAGGAGCCACACGCCACCGTCAGTGAGCTTAGCCAAGGACAGGATGTTTACCCTCGGAGACTTTGCAGGGGCCCGCTTGTAACTTGTCTCCTGAGCCTTCGATCAATCTGCCATACACGGCTGAGACAAAAGGGTTGTTTGGTTTGCACATACCTCCTTGCTGTCCACGTGGGAAAGGAAGCCAGTAGGAAAGAAAATACACAGACCATACATGCTCTCCCTATTTCATATAGCCTCTGTTGTCTCCTACCTCCTGGGAGGCTGGGGGTTAGAATAGATTCTTTTAAGGGTACCTGAAGTATGGCATAAAGCACATAAAATTCCAAATATGAAACCAAAAAGAAAATTTTTCCCCAAAAAGAAAACTGCTTAACCCAACAGCCCAGGAAAAGGCAGTGCTTCTGCTTCCTGGGAAGAGCATTTACACAGGTGATCTCACAGGAGGAGCTGAGTGTCTACACTGCATGGCCCTCAGACTCCCACCCAAGTTCCACCCTGGCCCCATCCTGATACCACCCATGTGGCACTTTGAATAATAATAATAACCCCATGTTTTTGGTAGCACAGGCCACTGTAGTTTGCCTTAGAAAAAGGCCCATCAGCCCAGCCAGTGCGACTCAGTGTTTGAGCATTGATCTATGAACCAGGAGGTCAAGGTTCGATTCCTGGTCAGGGCACATGCCGGAGTTACTGGCTCCATCGCCAGTGTGAGGCATGCAGGAGGCAATGGATCAATGATTTTCTCTCATTATTGATGTTTCTCTTTCTCTTCCTCTCCTTCTCCTTCTCCCTCCCTCTTTGAAATCAATAAAAATATTTTTTTAAAAGAAAAAGGTTCATCAAGCACTCCAATGTGCACACTTTGGGAAACTTAGGGATAGAAGCATGGTAGCCAAGGTGGCATTTCAGGGGCGGAAGCTAAGGGTGGTGAGGTGGTGGGATTAAGACAGATCTTGACAACATTTACATTTAATATTTTCATAGCTCCATCTTACTGCTGCTCACAGTTACATTGCCAGCATTACAGGTTTCCTTTTGTGGTACTAATTTTATAGAAAGTTAGTTGTAATATGTCACTGGGTTTTTCTAACCTTAGTTTGAATATAATTCAATCACTGATTGAATATAATTTAAGGCTGATGACAAATGAATAGAATCTTGGCACTGCTAACAGTGAAATTGTCCCCATGTGTCCCTGGACAATAATTACCACTCGGTTCATGGGGCACAGCAGAGATCATTTCAATTCACAAGCTCATTAAGGGACTGTGATGATTTGTAGGAATGCTGTTCTCAGGCTCAAGATCTATTGCTTTAGATAACCGCATGTTCAGCTTCTCAGATAAAATGATAATAAAAACAGATCAAGTATTTTGAAATATAAATAATCTCCTTCTGAAAAGTATTATCTGAGCCACATTTGTAAAAGTTTATTTTATGTGAAAAGTTTAGTATTAGTAATTCCCCTCACAAAAATAATGTTTAATAAGCCCCCTCCACCCATCTCATGAAAGGAAGGCTAAAGTTTACCTAAAAAAATTTGAGCACATCTCAACTTGGCCTCCATCGATTCCAGAGTCAGCAGCAGTGTTAGAGAGAGTTATGACCATCAGTCTTGACCCTGCAGTATAGGCAAGTCAAACTCAGAGCCTGCAGGCCCCATGACTTGTTTGTTTGGCCTGTGTTAACCTTTGAGTTTGACATGCTTGCTGTAGTATCTCCACTGATGGATTCAGTTCCTCTTCTATTCTCATCATAGCTGAGGGATGAGCTATTTAATACCAGACCAGCAGCTTTTCTTTGTGTAAAATTACCATGGTAACAGCAAATTAGCATATGTCAATCAGGGCACAGTACAATATTTCATGGAAATAGACACTTAGATTAAAATACTAACTTCTGCCATTGATAATTCTGTGACCATGAGAAAGCTATTTTCTGTAAGATGGGAACAATAAAGCTGTCTCAGGAAGGATTAAACTAGATAGTGGGCCATAGGGTCCTGTAGAGTGCCCAGTACAGAACACACACCCAGGGATCTTTCCTGCTGTCCCCTCTGTCCAGTAAGACAAATGTAGCTATCCTCCATGTGGACATATCCCAATTAGCTGCTAGGTCCTTGTCTGGGTTTGAAATAATGCAAATGCCGTGCTTTTAGAAAAATTCTATTTCGCATGCCTTACTAATCCACGCCAATCTTTTCATTTTTGTGAGGTTTTCCTGAATTGGTCACCGGCTCTCTCAGAACATAAGTGTTTTTATGTGGTTTGATCCAATTGAGGCAAATGGAGCAGGTTTTAGAAAACTCCAGCTCTTATCTTTCCTGACCTCGGCAGGAGGGCGCACCATTCTCTCCTGATTTGATCAATAGGAGCTATTATCTTTGCAGTTCCACTGATGATTGACTTCTTGGCACTGGTTCTGCAAACCATAAGGTTTTGGTATTTAAGCCTGAACAGTGGGAGTGTTATTTGGAGGGAAGAGGGGGAAAAAATAAGCCTTGAATCCTCCTCATTGATAAAAGCCTGTGCTTTCCAAAAGGATTACTGGTTCCTCTCAGCAGTTGGCAGGTAGAGACCCAACGTTCACAGGATGCAGAAGCTCTTCCAAAAAGCACCCCGCCACGCCACATCCTGTCTCCTGAGCCAGTTCTACGTGAGGTTACACAGACACGGGCCAGCACACTCATGAGACCAGTGTCCAGCCCAGTGGTCACAAAGGAGAGCGTGAGGAGACAAGTGGCTAGCCCAGTGCCTTTCTCATAAATGTGACAAAGACATTAATTTGTTAGAGAAAGAAAAAGTTTTTTAAATATACTAACATTTGTGGCACTATTCATCTTTTTAGATAGAAGAAATTGGAAGAAAAAAAAAAAGTTCTCCAGATTGTCTCAATATCTACGAGGCTCTCCTTGTGCTTGGAGATCTTCTCAACAATTCTACAAGGTGGGTATTACCATCCTCACCTTCATTTAAAGATTGGAGAACCTGAGACAGGACTACTAAGGCACTTGCCTACTTAAGGTTGTTGGGGTGGGAATGGAGATTGTGGTCAAACCCAGGGGGGTCTGAAGGCAGAGCCAGTGTCTCAAACTGCCAAAATGGGGTGGGATGGAGGCTGTTCTCGGACTTCAGTCCCCCTCAGCCCCAGAGGATCCTGTGAACTTCAAGCTCTGCAGAACACAGTGTGAGAAGCAGTGCCAGAGGCTATACTCCTCCCCATTAATGGTTGGTCCCCTAATTCTAAAACCTGAAGAGGATGGTGGGCGACACAAAGGGAGGAGAGGAAGCAAGTCTCGATCACACACAAATGCTTTCCCCCTTTGGGAAATACTATCCTTTCTTTAAATCTGCTAAACTAATATTTAAGTTCACACACAGTTCTTGTATTTAAAGGAATCATGCTACCAAAGCACCATGATGACACACATCTTTAAAGTGAATACAAAGAGTCTTGAAAACTATCTTACTTGAAAGAGTCACACGTGGGGTCTCTTCCATGGAACTCTAGAGATTCACTCATTCAACAGACATGTGCATGGTCATTTCCCATGTATAAGAACTGGGATTAAAAGAGCTTGACCTGATCCCTAAGGATGATAAGAACCTATAGTCTACTGGGAAAGTAGTACAGAGACAAGATTATAAACTATGATGGGGTAATAGTAGAAAAGGACAGAAACCACCTCCTTATCCCATGAGTCATTCCTCCCACATCATCCTATCCAGACCAGACACGCAGACTACTGAATAAAATATCATAAAAAAATATAATGCATAGCAGAGATTGAAGAGGACATTCTCAGGTGCCCAAAATGAAGAAAACGGCAAGCAGGATCTGATGCAGAGGGGCCCTCTGGACTGCGGGTGTGGTGTCAGTGCTCATTTGAAAACC